GCGCAAAGCTACACGAGGGTTATATGCGCTAGCCGTCCCTAATTTAGCAGTGTAAGACTAGAGGGAAGGCAGCTCCCACCGCAAACTCTTGGACTGTTCTTTATACCAACGAATAGTGAGATTGACTGTCACATTATAACACCCCCACGGCTGAAAGGGGCGAGCATGTTTGGTGTGACGGGTATTCGAACCCTCGACCCACAGATTACGAGACGAGCGCCCTAACCACCTGGCCATGCCGGGGCCCCGTATTTAATGAATGCCTTTGTTAAGTAGTTACAATTCGAGCAATACGCATAAAAGTTTTTTTTTTTAAATTGGTTTTTATATTAAGATTAAAATGAACAAAATTTCAACAATTCATAATACGCAAAATCCTTGTAAGAGAAAATGTGAAATGCTGATGATGTAACAGAATAATAATTACGTGTTATTCTCCCCCCCCCCCCTCCATCGGCGTCTTTGTTTTTTGAATTTCGCACAAAAATACTCGACGATTACTGCGCCTCAGCAGTAAGGGTAAGGGCTTGTACATCTAATTTTGGGGGTGATCCCCTGCGGTGGGCACAGACAGAAGAAACTCTGTTGTTCAGATATTATTTCCTTTTAACCAAATTTTCAAGCTTTCATAAAGCTTAGAATTAGTCATATCTTCTAAACTCCGTTTTTTTTCTCTCTCTCTTTTTAGAAAACGTCACGTATTTTACTTGCATAAAGTTAAAATAGGGCGAATACTCCCTGAGGGGGGAAGGCGCTTCACTATCTAACTTGTTTCCTCATTCCACAAAAACAACCTCAGAACATAACCACTGCCACGCGGTTCGAGGGCACAAAGTCCGGTCTGCACCTCTGGGGAGAGAGAGGACTGTTGGAGAACAACGTTGTTACGTAAGCAAACACACGGTTTCCCTTGTAGGAAGTTTAACACCAAACATTTCCTTAGGTCATTTTTTTTGTTTAAACTCTTGTTTCAACTTCTGACCAAAATCTTTTGTGCATAACATACGCTATTAGCCATTTATCCACGCATGTTAAAATAAATTTGGAACCTGTAGATAGAGTAATATCTTAACTGGTGATTATCCTAATGGAAATCACTAAGGACGGCTCCCCAGTGGCACAGCGGTAATGTCTGCGGACTTACAACGCTAGAACCCGGGTTTCGATACCCGTGGTGGGCAGATCACAGATAGCCCATTGTGTAGCTTTGTGCTTAACTACAAATAAACACTATGGACATGTATGGTTTTTAGAAACTAATAACGCTTTCTAGAATTTTGATCCTTAAAAAGGATTCCTTATTATTAATTGTGGTGGTAATTTTCTCGTGGAAGGCCGGGCGTGATCGAGTTGTTAGCGTGCCTGGACTGTGAATCCGATTATTATATTTCGCGCCCCGTTCTTTAAAAAACGCGCTTCGCACTTTTGGGCCATACGTGCGTAATAAGAGTGAACGCTGTTGACGAGATGATTTTCCTTTAAATATGTCAGTTCAAAATTAAGGATGGCTATACGCGGTAGCCCTTGTGTTGCTTCGCGCGAACATTCTAGAACAAAAAGAACATTTAATACTTCGCTAAAACCATACCTGTCTATCTATAATTATGTGTATTCTAAGCAATACTAGTGTTATACTAGTTTCAATACCAATTATAAAAAAAAACGTTTTTGTGATACACATGTTTAAGTTCAGAGAAAAAAAAAACGTACTTTACTTCAATTTGATATCTAAACGAATCCGCGAAAGCAAAAACTTGTTTCGTTTGACACCAACGTTTCGAACAGTTGCTCGAAACCTGGTTCTTAAATAAAACAAGCTTTTCTTTCCTGGTCGCGTTTAAAAAAAAATTACATCTCTCTAGTCAACGTTTTACTACTTGGTTTTTTTACACAGAAACTTGATTGTCTACAGTAATTCTAGTGGTAACCTAAGTTTAAGCATCATGTAATATTAATATGGGGTAAAGTCTTCCTGTCGTAGACATTTGAGTCATTATTCTCTCCTTAACTTGTCACCTATTTATTATAAACTGTAGAGGAAAATTTTGAAGAATGATTCTACTCTGCTAGTACATTAACTTGTTCTCTGGGCAGAACCTGTCACGTGCTAAATAAGA